TTCGGGGACAACAAAAAGATGAAAATAAAACTCTGGAGAAGGGCAAAAGACCTTCTCCAAGGCTCTTTTGTCCAAAAGATTTGATATCCAGGATGCAGAAGATGCTGAGGATCCAAAAGAGTAGGAAGAGATGAGAAGTGAAGAGAAAGGCTATGTGTAAGAACTTGAATGATCCACCATTCAGCTGCAATCCAGAGTTTTGCAAACAGAAACAGCCAAGTCCCCATAGGGTCTCAGCCGACTATGTAAAGAGGGTGGTAGTCAGTGACATGACATACACAAGCCAATTGAAAGGAAAGAGGGAAAAGAAGAAAAAAATAAAGGGATGAGAAATGGGGAAGAGAGAGAGGTAGAGGGTTCACAGGGTCAAGGAATAGGTGTAGATTCACAAGGTTGAGAGAGATGAGAAGCCAAGTAGGAAAGGGAGGACTGGTGTCTGTCAGCCTCTGCTTGAGTCTCCAAGGCATTAGGAACACCCTCAAAGACTTCAGGGCAAAGAAAAGGAACCAGATGGAGGTAAGAATGGGGAAGACAAATAGTAGAAGCACCAAGTAAGCAGGGACAGAGTAAAAGATGAAACACTGGCTTAGATACTGAAAAGTACTTATTGTAGATCAGAATCACCATGTAGGGCTTCAGAGAGGAGATGAAGACAGGACAGATAATGAAGGAGATGGGTAAGAAAAAGGCAAACACAGGAAAACTGGGCACCAGAGAGTTATTTGAGACAGGTGGTTAGTTCCCCAAGCAGGTACAAGAAACTCCAGGGATTGAGAATCCAAGAACGGATGATCATAATCCATAGCAAAGTATTCCTGGAGTCGAGGAGGATGAGGTATTTGAACAAACTTGACATGCATGTCTGAAGAAGAGGAAAACCAAATAATCCTAAACATGAGAGTCATGTATTAAAGAGAAAGTAAAGAACAAACCTGAAAAATCAAATTCACAAGAGATTTGAAGGAGGAACATTGTCCTCTACAAGTAAAAAGAGTACCTTAGTGGAAAGAGCTGATGAAAGTCGTCATCTTCATGGTCATATTCAGAAAGATGGGAATACAATTTAAATATATATATAAGGGGATGAGGCAATGAAGGTATTAATGAACCTACAATACACTGAACAATAGCAGTGATAGTCTCCACAGTTAATGAATAGTTGGAATAAAGGCAGCACAAATCTCACTAAACTGAACAAAGTTTAAACTTTGATAAACATGGCTGTTTAAGACAGTGCTGAGGAAAAGAATGAAGTTAATTTTGATTGTAACTGCTTATGAGAACCTACTGCACGTGGAGAATGTGTACCATACCTATTTGTGAAGGGCTACTGTTGTATGATAATTACATCATGCACTATTGCAGTTCAGGTTAAAACATGTCTTAGGTGTGAGGTAATTCAAGGCTCGTGGCATGTGCAAAATCTCAAAGGCAGATGTGCAAGCAGTAACTACAGAGGTAAGGTATCATTTCAGAATATCCAATGATCTTTTAACCCTCTTGCTAAGGGCATCTTTTCTCTGCATGTCACGAGGTTTCACTGAGTTACAATCAAAATTTAATTAAGCTACTTTCTTATCATAATATACAAATAAATTTGGCATATAAACATAGCTAATAATCCAAATTTCAATATTATATAAGTTTTAAGTTCTTAATTTCATAAGGCAATATATAAAAAAATCCTCAATTTCCCACTGAATGAGAATTGTGATATTTGCTCTCTAGGTATCCCCTCTTCTCTAATTTATTCATCACCCCTCTGAGAAATACAAAATTAAATTTAAATTACTCATTATAATGTTGTCATTACTCAGACAAAGCATAATGTTTACAGCCTTCAATCTTATTTAGTTACAAAGGCGTAAAATAGAAAATCAGACCCCTCTTGCGAAGCCCACCCATCACATCCTCACTTTCAAAAATTGCCATTGTTCTCTCTGAAATTTAATATTCTATTCTTTACACAATACAAAACCAGAGTTCTAATCTATCAAATGAGGTATTATATTATGTTGTTTTCTGTACAGAGAATTGTGGATTTTGCTTCCAGTTCAAACTATATTCCCATCAATGAGCTTAGGTGAATTTTTAACGGCTCTTATTGCAGAGTTAGAGAGCCAGAAAAATTGTGATAGTTACAGGACATTGTCTTATTTTTGCCTTTTATTATTCTGTGTTCTTTTATGCATTATGTAATTAAATAAAAAAATTTTAAGTGCAGTAGTATCATTAGTTTAAAAAATAGGGTAAGTGTCCTTGACAGCTGACAGCAAAAGAAAAAGAAGACCCTGGTAAGTACTACATTTCTTGTTTTTGTTTTTTTTTTGTGTGTGTATTACTTATTTATTATTAAAGTAACTAAAATGTAAAAATGAAAAACTTTTTTAGGTTAGATTAGGTAAAAGAAATAATAATAATAATCAATTTCACAAGGTACGCTTGCGAGCAACTCACGAGTATCCTGTGTCTTACATAACTTGATAAGGTAACATGAGCTGCACGTTTGCCAAGTGATTTTCAACTTGTGTGGTGGAATATCAGTTAGAGATGGTTCAAATGTCAATAAAACAATAAAATGTAAGTAGAAACAGATGTATACTGTTACAAGTTTAAAGCTATTTATGATAAACAAACATAGTTTCATGTTACAATCTGAAGCCATTCTAGAAAGAAAAAAAAGGGTAATTTAGATTTATTTTGTATTTTTAATGGTGGTTATGAGGTCTGTGAAATTGAACAACCTCATATAGAATTAGGGTAGAGAAAATAACAAATAAAATATAAAGTTTTACTTAAAACGTTTGAAATATATTTAGGAGGTTTTAGAGATTATGCAAATGAAATTTGAGAATTTTCAGATGAAGAAAACTTTTTTAATCATTAACAAGAAAATCACTTTGTACTTGGAGCAATAAACACTTTGACTCCATTTATTAGCTGGGACATTTTTAGTCAAAATACTTCATTAAGAATTATTATTTTTTGTCTACAAATGACTGTTAATGATTACTGAAAGCTTGTAAAATTTCGTAAAGATACCCAAATCATATTACAAGTTATAGTATAGAACTTCTAAAGGTCAAGTTTTAAGCCGAATCGACCAAGCCCATAACAAGAGGGTTAAATGCTATGTAACGTAACAGTTAAATTACATTTTATTTTAATAATATTTGCTTACTTCGAATGTTTCTATTATTATCAATAACAGGAAGTACATCAGTAATATTCTACAAATATACTCAATGACTTGTTATTTTGTTTGCATAATCAGGAAAAATATTGATCTCTGGATGAGATGGAGGCAGAGGAACACTGATTGTAGTATTGTGTTTATCTAACCATCACTCGAGATTGAAGATTTTGATTCTGAATAAGGAGACCTTGGAATCTAGAGGAACACTGTTCATGATCCATTGTCACATAAAGACTACTGAAGGGATCTCATGTGCGCTCATCCCAAAGGAATGAGGAAATCGAATGATCCCACACCCCCAAAAGAGAAAGAACCATCTGTGAGTAAGAGTTGGACTACTTGGTCCACAGCATGGAGCCGGACTGAGATGTGTGTTGAGAAAAACACCCAGATGGACAATGTATTGAGTTGGAGTGAGAAGAGATATCTTGGTTCTGATAAGAAATCCTGCTGTGGTTGCTTTGGAAAGCAGAATCTGGGTGTTATGTCAACTGACGAGATGGTGCCAGCAGTAACAGGTCTTCTATATAATGGTGTGTGCACAGGCCCAGGGAATGGAGGTGATGAGAAAAGGTTTGTACAATGCAGCAGAACACACATGGTGCCAATACTAGTCCAAAGGGTAGAACCCTGAACTGCAGCACCTGACCCCTGTGCAAACAATGCAGATAGTGGTGAAACGACTCTGCTATCGGAATGTGCAGATATGTGTCAGCGACACCGAACTTGGTCATCTACAGTCCTGGCAAAAACTTCCAATGCAAAGTGAGGAATGATGCCATCATGAATTTTGCAGGATCTAAGAACTGATTTACACGAGAAAAAACAATGACCAGAGACCAATCTCTCGTCTTCATGGGCACAACAAACAGATGGGAATAAAACTTTGGAAGAACTGGAATGACTCTCTAATAGCTGTGGAACAAAGTTCTGAAATCTGAGGATCTGCGGAAGGAGGAAACACTACATTTTCAGGAGCAGGGGTCTAGTCTCTGAGAGTCTAGATACACTTCTACCTGGCAGTGGTAAGCTAAAGCCTGTGTCTCTGTCAAACATGGTAGACAAGGCATAGCTGCCCCTTCATGTAACTGATTAATACTAACCCTCCCTAGGATTTCATGCCGTATGTTGGCTTGCCAAACAAACTTTTTTGTTTTTGCATTACAAAAATCAAAATAGGTAACACGAAGAACACGCAAAGTATCTCCAACAGTCATACAACAGAGAAATCTCTTAGTGAATGCTTTATCGAGAAAAAAAGTGATAATATTATTGGAAGAAGGTGCTTAAATACAGTACCAAGATAGAAGGTGTATTGACGTAGGTGGAGAGTGTTAGGAGACAGATATTGACAAGGGCAATTAAGTGGGGAATAAAAGACTGGAGCAAGCAAGTAAAAATCAGCCCAATGTTAGATGGGCAAAGGAAGAAACCCTAGCAGTCAAGTAACAGGTGTTGTGTGAGAGGAGATATGTATGTTTTGGAATTACAATGTAATGCTTAACAAGAACTTTATAATAACCAAAGTGACAGAGCTATCTACACTGAAGAATATTTTTGATATTAATGTACATTAGTCCACAATCATCCATCACTCTGTCATTGTTCTAGTGTTAAGTTTGTAGGCTAATAACACTAAAAAGTTGGGACAGATAGCTCACTGTGCAGCTTTATGTTTAATAACAGATAAACCATAATACCTTATTATAAAAATAACTGTTATCTGTAAAACAAGATATAGGTTTTATCATTATCTATGGTGTTATTATCTTTATTTAATGGCTTGAAATAGAAAATGCCATACTTGGTATAACATAAGCACCAAAGAGAATCCAGCTAGATGCAATCAATGATCCAAATCCCAAAACAAATCCTATAAATAGCCAGGCTCTTGCACCTAAACACAAAGAAAAAAAAAGGACAAAATGAACAGTAATAACACATCTTAGATTTTTTGTAAGATGTAATTCTATATTCTCATAATACAAAAGGAGCCGAGATATATTAGTACATTTGTTCTAGAACTGAGAAAAAAATAATTTCTCTAGGGACTAAAGAAATTTAATGTTATTTCTAAATTTTGACAGTTCCTTTTGAAGTGTTTACTTTAAATCACTTAATGCAAGTTCAATTTTAAATTAAAGTTTGAAAAATTCCTTGATTATTATTTTTTATTTGTTCTTACACACTGTAAACTAAACAAATCTGTAAGAAACTTTCTAAGAATTTTAAACTTTTTTGAAAATGAAATAGTATCCTGTGAATTGTCAAATTTATAAGATGTCAAAGAAAAACAATTGTTTGTAAAAAAATTCATAAAGATTAAGATAAAATAAAAAAAATATAGTTATTAATACAGAATCCTAGACATTTAGAGCTCAGTAGTTTACAACACCAGTCATTCATGTCACAAAATAACTGCAACATTTTAGTTCCATGGTAAGCAGATCAACTACAAATTGAAGTAGTATAAAATAATATAAAACAGTCATCTTCAGAATGGCTGATCCTGTCAACCGATGGTTTTTAGTTTTGGTTTGTTGTATTTGTGTGTGCATATTTTGTGGTTATGTTGTTTTTTCACAGATATCAAAGTTATGTATTTTTTAAATGATAACTGACCATTTAACCCCAAAATCAATATAGTTCTTCTCCATCACGAAGGGAAGTGACCTGTATAGTTTAATTAAAATCTGTTGAGAGAATAAAAGAAAAAAGGTGTCGGGAAATTACTCATTTTGGCATTGAACTTGCTGAACAAACGTTATGTCCACATAAAGCTTAATGATAAGCGAACAAAATATATTTACATACTATTTTCTACAAAAGCAAATTCTATTTTCATAACATTATATGTAATTTTTTACAAAGCTACAATAAAAATTAATATGATATACATTACACAAATAATCAAGTTTTAAGAAATGACTAAAATGTGCATAATACTTTACCTCTCTGACCCATACAACCTGTGGTATAGGATTCACCCCTGATTTGGCCATTTGAAACAGCATTAATCCTATACAATAATAAAATGAATACAGCTTTGTAGATATAGAGATGGTTAAAATACTGATAAAGTAACCTTAAATTATAGTTTTATAAAATATGTTCAGATGTAAAAAACATATTTGAGCATATTTTCAAGCTATTATAACTTTTACGAAATACAGAGATCTTTCAAATAACAAAAAACCTAAACAAGGGACCACATGGTTGTTCAAAACTCTCCTTATATGGAAAAAGTAAGAACTTAAACCCACTCTTCATTTTTTCAGGAAATTACACATTCTCCTTTTTAAACTCTTGTAAAGTGCCAGCCTACACTACTTCTGACAGCAACTCATTCCATAAACCAACCAACCCTGTTAGAAAGTTAAATCAGTCTTAAATGGAGTCTAGTCTATCTTTCCAAATCTTAAGCTTGTGTTCCCTTATCCTACTAAACTCACAAAATAGCAGAAATAAATCAGAGGTCTTAATCCTACCAATCCTCTATCTTGTAAACTTCAATGAGATTAACTCTTCTTTTCTCGAAAGAAAATAAGTTAAGAGATCTTAACATATCTCCATAAGATAACCCTTCTATCCCTGGAGTCATCCTTGTAGCCCTCCTTTGAACCCTTTCCAAAGTTATACTGCTTTCTTAGATAAGGAAGTAAATACTGTACACAATATTCCAAATAAGTACTAATAGAGAAGTATCAAGTCAGAGAAACCATCATATTGCTATAACTCATATTAGAGCTTATTACACATATAATTAATTCAATGGGGACAAACTATATCACTATCATTATGTTTAAGGGAACAAATATTTTTACAAGAAGTTGAATCAAATACTTATCACAAAAAAGATGAAAATTACAGATAATTTGCCTAGCAACCATTTTTCTTTCTATGACAGATACAACATGATTTCATATGTGATTTAGGATGACTGAGACATGGAAGACTAAAGAAAGTTCTCTTATGTTATGTCTAAGGAAAATGTTATAGTAGAAAGCAATAGTTGATTCAAGATAATCATACACAATTATTGGTTATATTACCTTCTAGTTTCTACTATTATGACTATATGTATGAAAAAGTATTAATAATTAATGCATTTCAAAAGACAGTGCATTCTGTTATAACTACATATCATTATTAATAGTTTTGATGAAATGTTTAATAATCTTTAACATATAACATGTAAATTTTGTTTTCATATTTTTAAATTGTCCTGACTTGTAATTGCAAGAAAATGTAGTTTTCTTCCACTCAAAAGTATGGTTTTGAGGTTAAACTTGAAAACTATCTGTTGTATTGCATATTTATTTAGAACAATAGAGATTCTGCCATGGTCTTGTTGATATGTTAACGTTTTGTAAACATGCATTTTCCTAATCAAACATGTAGAATAATTATAAACTGTTTTAAAACCAAAATTATTGAAAAGACCACTGTTTTTCTTATTTTAATATTAACTATTTTTCTAGGCATTTCACTTAATTGCTATGATGTATAATTAGTTATTGTAAACAACTGAATCATTATATTAGAAAACAAAAGATACACTAGCTACAACTTTAATGATATTAGATAACAGATATTATTTGATACTGTCCAATTACTACAAATTACTATTACTACATATTTGGTTGTCATGTTATTTTCAAAGCATATAGCTTGTAATGGTAAACCAAAACTCATGAAAAATGTATTCAGTTTGCAGAGAAATGTTTAATTTTAGCTCAAGAGAGTTACTTTGCTTTCAAACTGAATAATAGCCTAAAAATGACTATGTTAAAACCCTTTTTATTGTCTATGGGTACTTCAAGTCATCTGTTTGGTAACCTTTCAACTTTTGGCCACCATAACATACATGATCTTGATGGACGTTTAATAATAATGCAAGATGCATTAAATTCAATTCAACACCTGGTGCTGCCACTCGCCTATAAGTAATAATTTGTACCGATGGATATTCACCTCTTTCAAGATGTAATTGATCTGTCAATGAATTGTATTAGCTTTGTTACCAGCAACACAGAACTTCCTTGATGGCTTGAGTGACTTATTCATCACTATGCCAAAATATTTTTTCTTCAGTCACACTACTGAGTGGGTTACATTAAACATAATCCAACTTATGTTAACCCAAATGCATTACCATGCACTCACTATAAAATTAAAGGTATTTGCCAAATATGTACAACCAACCAACTGATCCAAGTCATTCTATGGTACCTCAACATCAATACGGCTAGAAATACTCAAAAATTGTCCAAGAATATGAAGAGAAAACAAGCTTTACTACTGAGTATTCAATGTTAAAGAAATTATTTTTCAATGTATCACAATTTTCTGCTATTTTAGTCAATAATATTTGTTTGAATGATAAAAAGACTAGCGATATACAAGTTAATTTGAAATAAAGAAAGTTAATGTGCTTACATAAAAAGTGATAAAGTACCCATCACTCCACAAACATGATATGCATGATGGAAGTCATTCATGCTAGGGTATCTAGCCGCAACATCCAAGATAAACCACCAGCCTGTAAAAAACTAAATTAAAAAAAATAATTTTAATTAAATACTGATACAAGTTTTTTATTGAGACATATTTAGATAATTCTGGACATGCTAGAGGTGAGAACTGAAATATGAACATTCTACTACTGACTTTTATGAGATAAACTACAGCTCACTGGAGTCAACAGTATTCATAATAGATGTTGTAATTTAGGGGGAACATGAATTACTTAACAATCCATCATCAATTTAGAAACTTACACAATATTTACTCCATTATCTCTTATTATAAGGTAAACATATTTATTTTTGATTTACCATATATTCATTACACCTTCAAACATTATTCCTATTGCATCACTGCTATGACTTTCAATAAAATGCTTGACATTAATAGCAGCATGTTGGAAATCCATATGTTCTGTGAAACTAAAGAAACCGTTATTTATTGTAGAACACATCCGGATGTTTGACGTTAAGATAAATGGTACTGAAATTCAAGATCTGACCAGCAGTTGTAGTCTTAAACTTTTCATATGTATCTTGGACAATTCATACAAAACTTCTCTTCAATAACAACTGAATGTAATTGGTTATTCAGTAGTCATTTCAATAATTGCATAGTGTAACTCATCAGCACGATGGTTTTTGTTTGGTAAAAAAAACACCCCCCAAGTTTCAGAACAAACTTTCACCTTCATATCTGATTCAGTAGACTACAAAATCTGTTGAAACTGGTCGTAGTTTCTTGAACTACAAAATCTGTTGAAACTGGTCGTAGTTTCTTGAACTACAAAATCTGTTGAAACTAGTTGTAGTGTCTTGAACATGCTTGCATATTGGGTAGAAGCTGCTTACAACTTGGCATCATAAAGTAATCTCTGGAATTTTATAACACCCATGTTAATCAGTGAGCACAGAGATTATTACTGTATCAATCCTCACACTACTGAGACCAATATGTGAAGTGCTAATGACAGGTCTGTGCCTGGTTTATTTATTGACAATACTTGCTGACATATTACAACTTGTACATTATATTGCAGGGCATACTACAACTTGAGATTTAAAGAAGCACTGGAGATGTCCATACAAGATTAGACTATTTACAACATTTTTTACCTCTGCAGAAACATATTATTGGCAGTTGTAGACACGAGACAGGACCAACTACAATATGAGTATTTACCTGAAATTACTCATGACCCTTTGTTAAAACAGTTATTACATCCAACTTAATATATATAATTTACTTTTTCAAAAATTTGATATTTTAGTTTATATTTCCTTATATATATCTCATAAGTTCAATTGTACTGTGAATCTAATGGAAGTGTGTAAATAAATATACCAACTATTCAGCAACTGAATGGCTTTTATTCAAACAAAAAACTTGTCTAGCCAAAACACTATACATTAGACCTCTAACTGACATCACCTTACAACATGTAATAAAATACTAAAAATTAATTACGAAACTAAAACTTCTACAAAGAACTATCTATAATCATACTACAAATGAATAATTCAAACATCTACATAAATGATATATTTTTTACAGTTCTACATTACTGTATACTACAGTACATACACTGGTGTTATATTCAGATCATCACCACCAACTCTTTTAATACACACCCTCCTAACACATGTGATTCCCTCTATTCGATTCTACAGAACTATCACATGTAGTCTATGCAAAAAAAAGAAGCACCAGTTTTGAGCGGGGAAGAAGGGTGAGGGGAGGTTAGTACCTATAAGAAATACATTTTCAGTATAGGAAAATTATAACTTCCGATACAGTACATTACCTCCACTCACATATATAGGTAGACTTCCACATTGAATAGGTGGAAGGACTGATGCAAGGGATAGAAATACGCATCCTTCAAAAGTACCCGAAGAACAACCCAGAATTGTGATCCCTGTACTAAAGGATCATACTTGGGGGAGTGTACCACTTCTGTACCAGGTATACTCTGCACTCAGTGTGTAAAGCGGTGTCACATACACAGGTGGAAAAAAGGAGGAGCACAAACAAAAAGGGAGAGAAAAACAGTTGGATTGGAAACTGAACCATAGTATATCATAATCTCAATCCCGTCAATGAAAGACCGTACAAGAAACATCTACAGACAGTAATGTGGGGGAGAGTGAAAGTGGATGTGCTCCAAGGTGTAGAGTGGCTAGGGTGCAATGGACTGTATGTGACAGGTCAACTCCAATCCAAAACCAACCAGTATTGGTAATATAACCTCTGGCCTGTGGTAGGAACAGGATCCACACCGTCTTCACCTCAAGTTCAGTAGAACACAAATATATACTGTGTAAAACCAATGTACAAAATGGTCACGTGTGCAAATCCACAAATAATCATACATACGAGAACCCGATATACAATTCTGGAAGAGAGACAGGAAGGATCACCTAAAGCCTAAGCAACTGAGGGAACCAAGGTTAAGTGGGCCAGTAAGGAGCTATCAGAAGAACTGTGCATGGATGAGAGAGACTACCCAATGAAGTAATCAGATATGAGGAAAAACAGAAAGAAACAGGTGGGACCAATCCTGGCTGAAGGTGTCTGCTACCAAAGCCCTAGGATTGGGAACTGGGGACCAAATCTGTGGTTATTTGTGATTCAGGGCAGTGGCAAAGGCATCAGTATGGGGAGTACCCAAACAATGACAGCACCACCAAAAAATAGCAGGTTGTAGGCACCACATCATGGTATACACCTGATCCGGTTGGGAAAGATGATCCACCACCAGAATGAATGCACCCAGAATATGACACACCATCGAACATTCTAGGGTAATCAGTGGTCTAAAGAAAGATTCAGTACTCGAGCACTGACAAACGAGAAGTAATAGCTTGGTAGTGGCGCATAGAGGGAGTCACATGATAGTAGTGCTCTCCTAATGGTGGAGAGTTGGCACATGATAATTTGCATGAGAGACATGTTGGAACTTTAGATTCCAACAGAGGGATGTAGTTCGCATATAGAGGGCAACAAAAAATGGGAAAAGCTACTCTTGTGAGTGGAGGGAAGATGCCATATCAGACGTTTGAAGGATAGCAACAGGTGGGAGACAGTATCCCAACAAGGATAATATAAACATTTATTTCTCAATACCAACAATAATGCATCTTTGGTTTATACTTTTAAGTATACATACTTTTCTTGGTCAAGTGTCATTATATAACTTCTCTTTGTTGTTCACTAAGTGTGCACAGTATTTCTTCTTATTGTATATATGTGTGTCACACATGGAGTTTTGTGAGATGTATATTTTTCTCAATTCTTGAAGCATTTAGAATATTGTAAAATGCCTCAAAATACCACAAATGTTTCATAGTCTACATGCCAGACTGAAGAATTTCCTCCAACAGGCAACAGAGATGAGACACCAGTGAAAAGGTAAGGTGCCTGATATGATGCGACAACTTCTGGAACAGAGTTCTGGAAGAAAGAGACAAGGATGAATAAGTCAATCAAATCAAAAGCCGGATCCAATTGGCAATGGTGGAAGAAGTCAGGTCACAATCATAGGAATGTTGCCAGGAGATGAAAAGGTGGGAATGGGAAGCACACATATGGTATATAGAAATCTATCTTGATCAGACCAGGAATAAAGGTTGAAGAAGAAAGAAGTGAAATTGCCGAGAAGGAAGAATTTCCCTCATGAGCTGCCAAAGTTTTGGGGAGGAGAGATCTATCCAGATGAAGCAGAACATAGGTATAATGGTATAGAAAGGTTCAAGCAGAGGTAAAGTAAGCAGTGAAGAACAACATTGACATCCCAATCCAGAGGAACCACCTGACGAGGAGGTCTAAGAATCCGGAAGGAGCACAACAAAATGGAGAGGGGAGGGAAATACTAAGTGGTACCAGGAAAAATGGAAGGTGTGGAATAAGTCTGCTCAGTAACCAGTGATGGACGAGATAAAAGTCCTGTGGTTAAACAACCAAGTGAGAAAATCCATAATAAAAGAAACAGTGGTTGAGTAGGGGAAAACACCCTGACTCAAAGACCAACAACGAAAGATGTTTCATTTACATTGATAAACTACCACTGAGGAAGGGCAAATGGAATCTGCTAAAAAAAAGTGATCTGCCGAGACAATCCAGATCTTCTCACCAAGGACCTGATATATGCCAAGAAGGGAAGATGGAGGGTAGGAAGGGAAGACTGAATTACCGGTGATCGAGGTTGACATAGAAGGGAGTGAGTGAGAGGAAGAGGTAAGGGAGAGGCAGTTTGGAGCTGAAGTAGATAAGGAAACCATGGCTGTGTTGGCCAGTAAGGAGCAATCAGAAGGACCTGAGACAGAGTGGCATGGATGATCGAAATCACCTGGGGAAGAAGTAGGATAAAAGAATAAAAATAAAGGTACCATTTGGTCCAATCCTGGCTGAGTGCATCGATAGCTAGGGCATGTGGATGTGGAACCAAAAAAGAGGTAACTTGGTATTAAGGAAAGTGACAAATGCATTCAACTGAAGACTATCCCACTGGGAACATAGCCACTGGAAAACCTAATGATCAAGGGACCACTTTTGGGGATAATTTTTTCTGGTCTGGAAAGGCGATCAACCACAAGGTTGAAAGCACCCAGAATATGATACACAATGAGACGTATCCCAAGCATGCGGGCCCAAAAAAGGAAATCCAACGTTTGACCTGAAAAAGAAGGAGAATGGGTGCCCTCTTTGTGAGTGATATAAGCTACCAATGGAGAATCATTGGAATTGATTATGACAAGTCATTCCTTACAAGAGGAAGAAGGTGGTCCAAATCGTGTTGTACTGCCAGAAGTTCCATAGATGTTGAGATGGTAACACCTCTTGGCCATAGACCATTGTCTGGAAGCCTCCTGTTGATCAACCCATGCCCACCAACCATGGAGGGAAACGTCTGCGAAGAGATGCAAAATAGAAAGAGGTGAGGAAGCAGTACACTTAATGATGTGTGGGTCTTGTTCAACCATCAATCTAGATTGTCAATGAGGGAAAGAGGATGGGTAATGGGAGA